AATGCCAATATGATGAGTTTTTCATAAAACTGACATTTTTCAAACGCCCTGCGCCCACACTAGACAAACTTTTTAAGAAAAAAAAAAATTATTCGCATCTTTTCTAATATCCTAATACATAAAAAAATTATTGCGTGCACTCCCATATCCAAAATTATAAAAGTACAACCCACCCTACCACTGCAAGCCATAGGCTGTTACAGAAGAGAGATCAGATTTAAAATCAGCTGTTTATTCTATGCAATTAAAAAGTGAAGATTTTTTGTCAAGACAAGAGTATAAAGTTGAGTCACCAGCAATTAGAGCTACTTTAGATTTCATGAAGATTGTTATTGGAGATGAGAAACAATACAGGAGCAAAGAAAGAACCTTGTGGAACCATTAAAATTACTTAAAATATAGGAGCAGATAGGCCTTCAAGAATAATTTTACTATTGCAGTTAGAAAGAAATAGTTTTATAACCTCAAAGCCTTTATATAAACAAACTAATAACAGAGTGAAGACTAACCGCAGGATAGTTGGAGAGGTCAAGTGTTTTCTAGAGTTTTTAAAAATGGGTTAATCTGTATAACTGCCAGGAAAAGTATGGCTATTATATTCCAGAGTCAAATTATAGTAAGATTTCTTTGCAACTCAGTTTTATTCTAAATAAATATAATACTTACTTTAATTAATGATAGTTAATTACAGTTGAAGACAAACCAAAAGTCTCTAGAACCTAACATCTGAGGTAAGATACAAGATTTAGTAAAATAAGAATAACCGAACTTAACATTAGACAGGACATTTTAACATTGGCTTCTTGCAATAATAAAAGGGCATTTGTTCTTAAGAGAGATGTTTTTGTGAAAAAAAAAAATAAAAAAAAAATTAATGTTTAATAAAGCAACTGCTCAAGATGGTGAAAAATGTGGAGTAGAATGAGGCTTGAAAATGTGGAGTAGAATGAGGCTTGAAAATGTGGAGTAGAATGAGGCTTGACTTGAAATTTAAGAGGAGTAATAAAAGCTTCTAAACTTTTATTCCAGAAGGAATAAAAGCTTCCAAGATGCACATTATGCATACATATTATGGATATAAACATATATGTTTACTATTTATATGTTATTTATATTGATGCTGACATACAATATTCTTTCATTGTTATATAAACTTTAGTATTTTTATGGTGTGGTATTTGCCAAATGAGAAGATGATCAGATGAATGTGTGGCGTGACTCTAGCAAGACAAGAAAAGGAGGCATAATCTTAGATAGATTAGATTAAACAAAACCTTTAATCTTTGAAAAGATTAAAGTAATTTAGGTATCAGCATGTAGAGAAGTAACTGCTTTAATAGAAATAGGTAGTGGTAGAAGTAAGAAAACTTGAAGAGAGTGCCTTACATATTATATGAATGAGCTTAAGTTAAGAAAAAAATTCTCCAGATTGTTTATATTAGAGAAACAGCATAAAATAGGAAGGCTAAAGCCAGATGATGATGATCATCATTGTCATGATGATGATCATCATTGTCATGATGATGATCATCATTGTCATGATGATGATCATCATTGTCATGATGATGATCATCATCATCATGATTATGATCATCATTGTCATGATGATGATCATCATTGTCATGATGATGATCATCATTATCATGATGATGATCATCATTATCATGATGATGATCATCATTATCATGATGATGATCATCATTATCATGATGATGATCATGAATCAGGTTTTAGCCTTCCTCTTTTATGCTGTTGATGATGATCATGATGATGATAACGATGATGATCATCATGATCATGATAATAATGATTACAATGATCATGTTGATCATAATGATGTTTATACTTTATATTATGTGTATATATACAAAATATAACAAAAGTTTTAAAATTAAAAAAAATGCACTTTAGGATGTATAAATGTTTATGCAGCCCTGGTCACAAACCTGGCCATAGCTCAAGCCATGGCTGGGTTTGTGACCAGGGCTGCATAAACATTTATACATCCTAAACAGGGCTGCATAAACATTTATACATTCTAGTTTTTTCATGCAGCCAATGTTGAACCATGCCATGCAATAGAATATTGTTTTTGTTCTGCACTCCACAACCATTGCTGAATAAATCGACACGTGACTCAGTTACAAAGACATCACTAAGAAAGTGGTACACCGCACTTGCTATCTCATTTGAACCACAAGCTGCTTCAATCTCAATCCATGTATAACAGTAATTTTTTCCTGACAACGACTTCACAAATTGCAAAATTGTATAAAGCTAGCTGTCTGGCATAGGAAGCTTCCTGAACAGGCACCTTAGGCAGAACTTGTACCTGCTGCAGATCGTATACAATATATGTCTTTATCAGAATTCTTAATTAAGCGGTAAAATGCAGCATGCTTCTGTAAGTCAAATTTCCCTTGCAGTTTAAGTTCATCTACAACCTGAGCTTTTAACTGGTGCATAACCAATTTTTTCAATTTTTTGCAAATGATACATGCATCTACATGTGGACCACTAAAACCAATGCTAAACTCAGAAGCAAAGATTTTGTAAAATATCTGATACGAGACTTAGTGTTTCAGTACAGTTATTATATATCTTCCACACATTTTTACAACTTTTTAATTCAGACAGCAGATATATGAATTCAGTGTTGCCTTTATCGTAATGACTTTCTCTGCCTTTCTAACTGCTAATAAATGTTTTTACACTATCCTTTTTTGCAACAGATTTGTAAGATATTCTATCGCCAACTCGACCTTCCTTTGCAAGACCACTACTACCATGTGAACATTCAAGTACTCGAACCAGCCGGTTCTTTTTGATAGGTGCAACTGCATGTAAGAAAATTTGCCTGACATATATTTCTCTTTTCGCCAGTTGACTTTTATTTAATGAAATAACAGCAAGCATTTAGATAATTGAATTTTCTTGTAGAAGCATTATATATTCAACTTGCCTTTGTAACGATAACCAGTATGGTGCAACAGGCAACTTTGAAAGAGCTTCATATCTTCTGCTGTAAGTTCAGAAAACTTGTATGCTGAACCTTGCTTGTGCTTACAGGTAGTCCTTCAGTCTGCATTTTCAGACAAATCCACTGTGTATTTGAAACAAAACCTATAAACATTGTTAGAAGACTTAATGAAGTAATGAGTAAGAGAATATGAAAAGAAGTTCAAAACAGATAAATGTGAAGGGAGCAGATGCCATTGACCTACTGACATATAGAGTTCCTTTTTTACATCACATTTAAGGGTCACAGTTAGAATTAGAACTAAAATCAACATAACACCGGTAAAATTATCTATTTTCTTTCGCAACTGATTGCTTTGTTTTAATAAATTTTCCGCTCTCTACAACCACTTCTACATTCTCCAACAAACTCTAAATCATCTACATCTTCGTAATTAACTTGTTCTAAACTATTGATAACTAATTTGCAACAATTTAAAAATTAAAACAATGCAAAATACAGATAACAACCATTATCTTTTTTTTAATTTTTCAGTTTTGGAAAGTTGTAAACATCACCTGTTTTAATTTGATAAAGTTAATTGGTTATTGGATTTGTCTGAATTTGCACGAAATGCTAAATTGGAATTGTCTGCTTTTGTACAATATTAGTAACTTGTCTATGTAATTACATTTGCTTGAAAATCATTCATAAGCCAATGACAATCATTGTCTACTATATACAGTATACATAATCTCGTTTTTGGTACACATTAGATTTGTCTGGTTTTGCATTAGAGCTCTTTAATTAACACACACACACATTAAAACTTATTACTTTTTGTGTAAAAAAGAAAAAATTGACAACCAGAAAATAATTGGTAATAAAAAGTTAATAAATTGATAAAAAATTACAAAAAAAAAAAAAAAAAAAAAAAAGTATTTAAAAAGAAGATAACCATACCAAATAAGAATATGATTACCTATATCATATTCAAATTACCACTCTTTCTCTCTTTTTATTTTATTTTATTAATGACAAACAAAAAACTTCCTAGTAAAAATGGAAAAACTAATAACAGCAAATTTGAAAGAAGTTTTGTTAGAATTACAAGCCGAAGTTGCGAATTTAAAATAAATATATATACTTAATGCGATTTCTGTTTAAGAAGAACTCAAGAAAAAAAAAGAGGATATTATTATTTCTGGTGTTTTAGAATCATTTAGAAATGATAAAGAAAATGAAGCAGCTGATTTAGTAAAAGTTAAACATATCTTTACTGACATTAATACCATTGAAATTATATACATAAAAAACCGAAAGCAAACATCTTCAGTGGCCTTGTTCATCAAGGCTTGTGTTTCAGAGTTATAGAGTTGAGAATCTTACTTTTTAAGCTAACTATTAACTAATTTTAAAAAAAGCCTTGTTAAGGTATTGGTGAAAATGCATAAATGATTAGTGCCTTAAGAAAATCTAAATCATGTAACTTCTGCACAGACTTTGACTGGTAATTAAATGTAAATGTAAGCAATTGATTACATTAACTGCAACAGGCTGCAATTTTGTGGTCTAAAAGGTACAATTTGGATTAACTGATTCTCCCACAAGTTATTGTGTGTTTTTTTTAAATAAAAAATAAATTCACACAGAAAATAATTTCAGCTTGTATTTAATCATTTTGAGTACAATGAATTTTTCTGTTATTACAGTTTCCTTAAATTAAAAAACTAAACATTCAACAGGTTCTAAAAATTCAAGTATAAAATTAAGATTTAGCTTTTTTTTTTCCAGCTATGAATTAGTTACAATAATACCATTTATCAACTATTTTATATAAAAACTATTGAAAAGAGTGAAGATTGTAACTAAACATTGTTGTTTTACAGTGGTCATATTTTTTTAAAATAATAGGAACAGCATAAAATAAGAGCTAAAAACTTATAAAACAATAATTTAAAACGCATATAATAACGTATATAATAGGCATTGAAAATAGATTATAAAGAAATGCTTTGAATAATTACAAATAAAAACAAACCTGTTGAGCAACAGGCTCCAGTATCGATTCAATCGTTTTTGTATGGAAAACAGGCATTTTAAAACGTTAATAGCAACTTAATAAAGCTGAAGCTTTTGCTGGATATTTAAGATAAAAAACTTTAACAACAAAAATATCTCTGTTTCGTCACAGCTACACCTATCCAAAAACAAAACGTAAATATCTCCGAGATTTGAAAGCTTATCTATTCTAGGTTTGATTGGTTTTGATGTTATCCGCTGAGGTGTGACGCAATTATTTTTATATATTAAAAAAAAAATTGAAAATTTTAAATCTAATTTTTACATAACAAATAAACATTTTTTTAAAAATACTTAAATTCATTTATTGTGTGTCAGAAAACACAATAAAAAATAGATACAGAAGGGGGACCGATTTTTATGGTTATAATGATTTTTGTTGAAGTCGCATTTTAACAAATGTTTGGCACTCCTAATTTTAACCACACTACATATGGAAAGTACTCAATTTTTTAACTTCATCTATTCAGGGGCGATTCCTCAAAGGGAAGGGAAGAGTTGGGTGTTATACCGACCAAAAAAAAGCGGTTTTAAAATTATAATCGTTTTTTTGAGGAATATAGTTGGGTATTTGACAGATTTGATTCGGGTGACAGCAGTTTTTACTTTTAAGGATTGGCCCCTCCACTTTCATTTTATTACTAGAATTTCCTCTGCATCTATTGCATACAAAGCATTTGTAAAGGAGGTTTTTAGTACTGACCATTAACCATTTTAATTACTGTCTACCAACCTACCAATCAACCAACCAAATAATAAAAATATAAGTCTCTGTCCAGCAACCCCTCTTGTGACTTGATTATTTCTTGATGTGCTTGGTTAGTTAATTATTTTTTTATTTGGTGGACATACAATGATTGTATGTCTAAGATTTTAGAGAAATTGAGTTTTTCTTATTCGCGAATTTCACGTTCATGCAGGTTTCATAAACGTTTTGCAAAAATCAATTTTTCGTGCTTTAATGGCAGCAAAGTCTTGAGTTAATTGTGAAAAATACAAAGACTGGAAGGTATCTTGTTCAATTGTTATCATTACCAGACTGTTTAGGCGTTCTTGCGTCATAGTCGCTTAGTGATTGAAATTGTCAAAACTGTACGAAGTTCTACAACGACATTTGGAATAGCAATATTTAAACCATAATCATTAATAAAATGTAAAGCAACAAAAGAAGACAAAACACTAATTGGAACAATTCATTGCATAAATTCTTTGGACCATCAACCTGATTCAGATGTATCCGTAAAAACAATATTTAGATCCTCACAAAATTTTATCAAATTATTTTGGTATAATTCTGAAATTTTTTAGATATTGAGCAAAAATTCAAAGGGACAGAGTGTCGTTCCTTTTGCTTGAAACGTGTTGTTAAAGGCATACCTGCTTGATCTGGAAAAACTTTAAAATATTCAACTCTATATTTTTTATTTGAATCTGTCAAAGATTCATTTATGCTTTCATAATTTTTATTTTGTTTAGTTATTTACGTGCTTTGAGAAGTCCTATAGGTCTTATCACAGAGCACAGCGGAGTTGAATTTAACCAGAAAGTTCACACTTCCTACCACTGTTGATCAAAGCCGGCTTTGAATCACGGTCCTCCAGTTCTGAAGCCATAACTCTAACCACAACACCACGGCTGCTTTGCTAATCGAACTCTTTCTTCTTAAGATTATGGCAGCTACCCAATGAGCACCAGACCTAAAAAAGACGTTTTTTTAACGTTCAAAAGACGTCCATAACGTTCAAAAGACGTTAAAAAGACGTCCAAAACGTGTATAAAACGTTTAAAAACGTTTTTACGTCTGTGCCCACTGAGTTGAAACTTGATTTTATCTGGTTTCAATTCTAACTCTTGAACCAATTATCTGGCTGAAATTCGAGCAGATAAAAGCTCTTTTTTTTTTTACTTTTTCATAATCTTGGTTGCACTTTTTATAAATTCCAGTGCAATGTAAATTAGCATAATTTTTAATTGCATTGATTTGCTAACAATATTGATTTGAGCTTCCATCGTTTGATTGAAACAATCCACAGGTTTTAAGGATTAGTCGGATTTTAAAGCAAAAATAAAAAAGCCTTTTTATGGTTTCGCGTTTTCGTAACTTCGCAAAAAAACAGAACTTCTAACAGAAAAAAGCCGTTTTTCAGAACTCTTATTTTGCAAATACTTTGTTCGTGAATTGCAAAACCGCCTATTTTTGACAAAGTAAACATATTTATTTTGTAATATATATGTTTAATTATATTTATCGCTAATTGAAGATGACCATAGCCTGTATCTTTCCAATCGAAGTTGATATTTTAGCTCTTATTTGGATTGTTTGAACATGTATATTTTGTGCAGATGATTTTATTCTGTAAACTGATGATTCTATTATGTAAGATGATTTTAATCTGTAAATTAGCGGATTCAAATATTAATCTGAATTATTGTTATTATTTTTTTGAATTGTAATGAAAAATAACTTTCTCTTGTAAACATTTTTCAGAATCTTTAAAGTTTCAAAAACCCTTTGTGTAAATGAGAGTTATTCACCAATGAGAGGTTTTCACCAATTATTTATTTTACAGTACTGAAACTTTATGACTCAATTCTTTTTAGTTGGAAAACATTATGTGAAAATATTTATTTGTACAAATATTGAAAGATCGGTCACGTAGACTCGTAAGAATGAGGATTTACTCCTTCTCATTGCTTTGCTGTTAACTGCATGTACTAGAAAAATACTACAGTAACCGCTATTTAAAATTTTTTTTTTTTTAAATTTATTAAAACCGGCATTATCTATAGTATGTAATAAAAATGATAAAAAGATTTTTCCACTTTCCTAATCAATTTAGTTTCGCATGTGTGGTCAAAGTTTGTTATAAAACGCAACTTTGGTGGATGATATATATACATATATTTTTTTTTTAATCATTAATTAACCATAAAATTGAAAAAATGACAAATTTATTTATAATTTTATAAAATTAGGGTCAATGTCACTGGTATAGTTATAAACTAGTTATTGGAGTAACACCTTAATAAAATAAACAAATAAAGTAATATAGATAGCGACCAAAATAAAATAAAAAAAAAAAAAAAAAAAAAAAAAAAAATATTTAAAAATGCACGACAAAAAACACAATAAAAGTGAATAAGCTAAGACGAGAGAAAACAAATGAATGAGATACAAAATGTTTCACGATCAGAAGAATGATAGAAAATAAAAAATAAAACAAAAGGTAAACATAAAAAAAACAACTAGATAACTACCAGTTATTTAGTTTTTTATGATGTTTAGCCATAAATCTGTGTGTTGCTCAAAAAATTTTATAATCTATTAGGAAATATAATAGGATTATTACGGTACATGTTATGAATTTTTATTTCTTTAATTTTTCCTCTAAGTGTTGTTGAATAGTATTGTTTTCATCACTTGCAGATATATTGCTATTATTTATATTCATTATCTAAATTATTTTTATGAAAAGCATAAATTTTGCATTCCATTACACAATTAATATTATACTTTATTGTGGTTAACTTTTTAAGATCATGAGAAACAAGGTCAGCATTTCAAGTTTGGTTTTCTTTGAAAAAATCATGATTTACCAAGCAACAAGCAGCTATTTTTTTGTAAAGCAATGGCTGAGGTGATTAAATAACGATGAAGATTTTATACTTGACTTTAAAAAAACTTTGTAACAATGTGAATCAAAAGGAATTTTTGAACCTTTTATTTTAGACTATATACTGCTCTTTATTTTTAGAATTTCTCTTGAATATTGAATTTTCTGGATCTTCTACCACAATTGTTTCCTTGTACAAATTTTCATCTATTTTTTTTACAAGCAAGACCTTTTGAATCTTCTTTACTTCAATAGTGCCATTTTTGAAGTTGTTCAGTACATGAGAGCGATAATATTTTTTCCTGAATTTTAATAACTTATGTATTTTAGAAATAACAATAATGCAAGAACATGACAACATAGCTCTCTCACACCAACACTCACAATAGGATTTCTGTGGAACGTTATTTTTAAATAACATTACAACACGAATTTGTACTCTGTGATATTTTTTTTTATAAGTCCTCCTACAAACAACGTATTTGGTGAACTAAAACCCGTTAAAGCAATTTTTCTGCTTTTCATAACAGAATATCCTTTTGTTATTGACCTAAACTGCATTCGCGTTTATTTAAATCATACTTTTAATTAGTTATAGAAGGTTACTACGAATCGTCACTATTCCAAGGAGCAATTGAAGATGGGATGGTTGTAGGATTTAAGAAATTGAAGGTGGGATGAGTCGTAAGCATATATATATATTAGTATACTAATTTATATATAACGCATCAAAAAAAAATATAAAATAAATAGGGCAAGGTTGCGTAAGATGAGCAGGTTCCTAAGATGGTAGACTTTAACGAGTAGACTAATGATTTTTTTCGCAAACGTTTTTGGTTATAAATATTCATACAAGTTCGACGGTGTTGTGTTGTTTATTTCAATTTCTTGGTTTTATAGTTAATACTCTTTGATTATTTTACTGTTAAAACTTACCACCCCCGTTATAATTTTTTATTGCTCAATTTTTTGTAATTACGACAGAACGAAACAAGATCATCAAAAATTTATTACATGCTCAATATTTTATGCTTATCTACTGCGAATTCCAAGGATTATATGAGATAATACATAAGCTGTTGTCATGCTATTTAAATTATGATAGTATTTGGTGAAGTTGCTTAAGATGATACGTTTTTAGACGCTCAAGATGAGATGCGGCTTTTTATTAAGAAAAGCGCGTTTTTCTAAAACCGTTTCTCATCTTTACTACCGTTTGGATACCGTTTGATAGCTTTTTTCATATCAACGCAAACAAATATATCACACGAGGAACAGACAGCTTCACCTTGCCTTTAAAAAAAACAAAATTCTCGCGATTTTCTTTAATATACCGTGGCCCATACTTACATAACAAAATAATACTTCAAAATATGGAACTTAATAAAATGGATAACCTTATTGCTCTGAAAAAAAAACTAAAACGTATCATAATTAACTTAACCAACTTCATCGAAATGTATTAAACAATTTGGGAAAAATAGTAATAATAAAAAGCCCTACTACTTCTACTATATAGTAGATACCAAAATACTTATGTGTATTTGTTGAA